GAATGGATAAGAAAACAGGACCCAAATATATGCTGTCTACAAGAGACCCACCTGAGAGCAAAAGACTCACACAGGCTAAAATTGAAGGTATGGAGTAAAATATTCCATGCAAATGGAAAGGAAAAGAAAGCTGGAGTAGCAATTCTTATTTCTGACAAAACAGACTTCAAAATAAAGACCATAACAAGAGGCAAAGATAGTCACTACATAATACTAAAGGGATCAATCCAACAGGAGGAAATAACCCTTATAAACATTTATGCACCCAATGCAGGAGTACCTAAATATATAAAAAATTTCTTGGGGGACTTTAAGGGGGAGATTGACAGCAACACAATCAGAGTGGGGGATTTTAGCCCCCCACTGTCAGCATTGGACAGATCATCGAGACAAAAAATCAACAGGGAAACACAGACCTTAAATGACTCACTAGACCTAATAGATTTAGTTAACATTCACAGGACATTTCACCCCAAAGCTACAGAATACACATTCTTCTCAAGTGGAACATTCTCAAAAATAAACCACATGTTAGGGTACAAGGCAAGTCTCTACCAATTCAAGAGTACTGGAATCATATCAAGCATCTTCTCAGATCACAATGGCATGAAACTAGAAATCAACCACTATAAAAAACTCAAAAATATTCAAACATATGGGGGCCACAAAGCATGTTATTAAACAATGAATGGGTTGCCAATGAGATCAAGGAAGAAATCAAACACTTCATGAAAAAAAATGAAAATGAACAGACAACAACCCCAAATCTATGAGACACAGCAAAAGCAGTCCTGAGAGGAAAATTCGTAGCATTACAAGCCTACCTCAAGAAACAAGAAAAAGCTCTAATGAACCATCTAACACAACAACTAAAAGAACTAGAACAAGAACAGCAAGAAAAGCCCCAAAGTAGTAGAAGGAAGGAATTAATAAAGATCAGAGCAGAAATTAATGACATAGAGATGAAAAAAATAATACAAAAAAATCAATTAAACCAAGAGCTGGTTCTTTGGAAAGATAAATAAGATTTATGCACCTTTAGCCAGACTCACTAAGAAACAGAAGGGAAATGAAAGAAGTGATATAACAACTGACTCAACAGAAACACAAAGGATTGTAAGAAAATGCTACGAGCAACTATATGCCAACAAACTGGACAACATTGGTTGTAGAAGCATACAACCTTCCAAAGCTGAATCAAGAAGAGGCAGAAAACATGAATAAGCCCACAACAACTAATGAAATTGAAGCAGTAATCAAAAAAACTCCCAGCAAACAAAAGTCCTGGACCAGATGGATTTACAGGTGAGACTTACCAAACATTCAAAGAAGAATTAATACCTATTCTATTCAAACTATTCCAGAAAATTCAAGAGGAAAGAAAACTTCCAAACTTTTTATGAGGCCAGCATCATCCTAATCCCAAAACTAGATAAAGACATTACAAAGAATGAAAATTACAGGCCAATATCCCTGATGAACATAAATGCTAAAATTCTCACTAAAGTACTAGCAAACCAGATCCAGCAATACATTAAAAAGACCATACACCACGACCAAGTGCAATTTATTCCAGAGATGCAAGGCTAGTACAACATCCACAGATCAATAAATGTGATACATCACATAAACAATATGAAAGACAAAAATCATACGATCATATCAATAGATGCAGAAAAAGCATTCGGCAAAATCCAGCACCCATTTCTGATAAAAACTCTCAGCAAAGTGGGAATAGAGGGATCATACCTCAACATAATAAAGGCCATATATGACAGACCTACAGCCAACATCACAATCAATGGACAAATACTAAAAGCATTTCCCCTAAACAGGAACAAGGCAGGGATGTCCACCTTCACCACTCTTATTCAACATAGTACTGGAAGTCCTAGACACAGCAATCAGACAGGAAGAAAACATAAAAGATCCAAATTGGAAAGGAGGAAGTAAAACTGTCATTTTTTGCAGATGACATGATATTATACATACAAAACCCTAAAGACTCCATCAAAGCACTACTAGATTTGATAAACAAATTTGGCAAGGTAGCTGGATACAAAATCAACATCCGGAAATCACTGGCATTCTTATACACCAACAATGAACTTTCAGAGAGAGAAACTAAAAAAAAAAACAATACAATTTACCATTGCAACTAAAAAAATAAGATACCTAGGAATAAACTTAACCAAGGTTGTAAAAGACCTGTACTGGGAAAAGTACGGGACATTGAAAAAAGAAATAGAGGACAATGTAAATAAGTGGAAGAATATAACATGCTCTTGGATTGGAAGAATTAATATCATTAAAATGTCCATACTACCCAAAACAATTTATAAATTCAATGCAATTTCTACTAAAATACCAACAGCATATTTCACAGACCTAGAACAAACATTTCGAAAATTTATATGGAACCAAAAAAGACCCCAAATAGCGGCAGCCATCTTGAGAAAAAAGAACAAAGTGGAAGGGATCACATTACCGGACATCAAACTGTACTGCAAAGCCTTTGTAATAAAAATGTCCTGGTATTGGCACAACAACAGACATATAAGTCAATGGAACAGAATAGAGAGCCCAGAAATAGACCCACGCTACTGTGGTTAGTTCATATTTGACAAAGGAGGCAAGAGCATACAAGGGAATAAAAACAGTCTCTTCAATAAGTGGTGCTTGGAAAATTGGACAGATACATGCAAAAAAATGAAACTAGACCACCAACTTTCATCATACACAAAAATAAACTCAAAATGGATAAAAGACTTAAATGTAAGTCACTAAACCATAAAAATCCTAAAAGAAAACATATACAGTAAAGTCACAGACATCCCACGTAGTGGACTTTTCACTGATACATCTCCTAGGGCAAGAGAAACAAAAGAAAAAATTAACACAAATGGGACTACATCAAACTAAAAAACTCCTGCACAGCAAAAGAAAACAGTCTCAAAATACAAAAGAACCCCATGGTCTGGGAAAACATATTTGCCAAGGATGTATCTGATAAGGGGCTAATTTCCAAAGTGTACAAAGAACTCATACTACTCAGCAAGAGGAAGACA